AATAACTCATTTTTTAGAAAACAAGGTCACGCGTTCAAGAATATAGGATTGATAAGGTATGGATCAAACTCTTCTTATATATTTCGTCGCACTTTCCTCCAATCCCCGCGGCAACGCACGGGGACGGGTACGCTAGTTATATATATATATATATATATATATATTTATATATATATATATATATATATATATATATATATATATATATATATATATATATATATATATATATATATATAATTTATATATAATTATATATATAATTTTTTGCGGGGTGGCCCTTTTTTTCTAGTTCCGCCACAGGTACAGCTATGCTTTTTTAAGATACATTACAACACAATCAAGCATGATTTTAAAGGCACTGTGGTTGCAATATCAGGTGTGTAACTAGGTTCTCCTGCATTTGTACTGCTTAAGTGATGAAAGTTGTAATTGAAAATCATTCTCCTATATGTTTTTAGCGCAATTTCCATACTGGACAATTGCGATTATTAACTCGTCATTTCTGGTGATGGATGGATGGATGTGCGCAGCTTTAAGTCGTTTCTCCTCCTAAACGAAGCAATATCGATGACTAGTTCCAAAGCAAATATGTTAAGCAAGTTCCGAGGATGATTGTGGGCGAATAAAAATTCCCGGAATTCCTTCCTGGATTTCCCGGAAAAGCAAAAAAAACTCGAAAAAATGCAGCTTTTGGCCCATATCTCGGCAACCAGACAACTTAGCGACTTGAAACATTTACCAATCGATTTCTGCCATAATTTTGAACAATATTGCCGTAGAAAGTTTTCAAAAATATCCTTTCGTTCGGTCACAAAAAATTAAGTAAGAGTTTTTAAACTGAGCATCGTGTAGGCCTAGGATGATATTTTTAATTTAAACTGAGCATCGGGTAGGTTTTTAGCGCAAAAAATATCCTTTCGTTCGGTCACAAAAAAAATAAAAATTGTTATGGATAACATAAGGAAATTGCGCTTAAATTGTCACTAGACTTTTTATCAACTTGTTTATTTAAGCCGAATATCTTTTAATTTCATTTCAAACAAACCCGACCTAAACTATTTTGTGTGTCAGTAAACAATTAGACAGCAGCATCTCTAGACTAATTGAACTTTTGTCAGTCAACGCGATCTATTGCTAGCGGTTAAATATCCTGTAAATCTTCATGATTGTTCCACGTTGTGTAGTTTAAGAAATTCTCAGATTTTTTGTATATCTTCTGCCGGCCACACAAGGACTTTTCAAACAATCATTTGTCGTCTGTTTGAATGACATGTGTTATATAGATAAATTCCTATCTTCGTTCCCTGGTGGATGCGGCCCCGTTAGTTTTAAAATGTTTGTACGTATCTCCAGCATTCAGTTGTATAGAAAATACCGAGAGACACAAATGACACAGTAGCTTAGCATGTATTAACTCTCTAGATAATATATATATATATATATATATATATATATATATATATATATATATATATATATATATATATATATATATATATATATATATATACTAGGCATACTACCTAGCTTCGCTTAGGTTTTTAAAAACATTTGAGAATTTGAATATTTAGTTATTTAGCGATGGATGAGGTGTGAAGTGCTTAAATTTAAACAGTAATGCTAACTTTAGGGAAAATGTTGTTTTTTGTTGTTTAAATTCCGTTCTCAGAGAAAATATTGGAAAGTACACAATGTATAACTAGAATGGAATTAGAACTACACAGGTTCCATAAACAGTATATCTCATAATTTATATTACATGAATGTTTATATTTATATTAACTGAATTAAGAACTTAAGTTTTTACTAAAACAAATGCTATACTTCGTCATTTTCTGTTTCTGTTTAAAATAGTATACAATTAATTGAAAAATAATAATTTTAAAAACGTTACCTCCGTTGAAAACTGAACGAATTACGTATGTCTTTGTTTACTTTTTTTTAAAAAACAAACAGTTGCTATGCTTATATAAGAAATTACGGTATATGAACCTATTTACCAACTATAATGGCTGTTTCCGACGGGAATAAAGTTTTTTTGTTACCCTCCAGGGTCGGTCTACGACGTCACATAATATTAAGGGGATTGTTCGTAAATTTATATATATATATATATATATATATATATATATATATATATATATATATATATATATATATATATATATATCATATAAGGAGAATTTCACTCACGGTCATCTTTTAGCCCTCGTCGAGGGCTTTGAGTCTGACCAACAGTTTTTCCATACGGCCTAGTCATCTATAGTAGTGTATGCAAAAACTTAGCATGATGTACAGACGTTAAGTCAACTTAAAATTGTGTTGAAATTTCCCTGTTTTTCCCATAAATACAAAGATTATATAGGGAAATACGACTGGTCTGTTTTTGACCGATTTTTCAAGTACATGGCGAGTTTTTTGTGACACCCAAGGCGTTCTCCTACCACCTCACAAAATTTCAAGAGGGGTCGTCGGAGGAAATTTGTTTTCGTAATAGAGCTCAACTAAAGTGAATCCACTCGCGGTCACTTTTTAGTCCTCGTCGAGGGCTTTGAGTGAAACCGACAAATTTGCCCTACGGCCAAGCCATTTACATATAAGCATGCCAAAAATTAGCCTGATGTAAAGAGGGTTAGTGCCCTAAAATCCGTTTTGAAACGACCCTCTGCTTTTCCCAAATACAAAGATTTTATAGGGAAATACGACTGGTCACTTTTGACCCATTTCCCGATTTTTCAAGGACATGGCGAGTTTTTTGTGATACCCCAAGGCGTTCTCCTACCACCTCACAAAATTTTAAGGGGGTCGTCGGAGGAAAGTTTTTTCGTAATATAGCCAATATAAGGCGCCGGTCAGTCGAGGTCAGTTTTGATTCCCTCTCCGTAGACTTTTCGGCGAACCGTAACCGGCCCTCGTGTTCTATCGCTCCCAGGCACCATCGTGCTAAATTTGACGCGCCTGCGGCGCCGGGAAGTGCACTATCGGGCACTTGACCACTTTGCTTTATATATAGATGTGTGGTATACACTCTATAACCAAGTGTGTAATGTAGACTCTATAAACATATGTATTATATACGCTCTATAAACTTATGTGTATTGTACACTCTTTAAACTTCTGTTTAATTGTATGTAAACTCTATATCCATGTGTGTGATGTACACTATATAACCATGTGTGATGTACACTCTATAACCATATGTGTAATATACACTCTATAACCATGTTTGATGTACACTCTATAACCATATGTGTAATGTACACTCTATAACCACGTTTGATGTACACTCTATAACCATGAGTGATGTACACTCTTTATCCATATGTGTTATGTACACTCTATAAACATATGTGTAATGTACACTCTTTAAACGTAGGTGTAATGTACAATGTATAACCATGTGTTTGATGTACACTTTAAATATGTGTGATGTACACTCATTAAAGGTATGTGTAACTTACACTCTATACAACATCAAGGGAAGTCTTTATCAGTGCTAGTTATCCTTGTGTAAAACAGATCTAATTGGCTTATAATGTACACACTTTAAACGTATGTGTAACGTACAATCCATAACCATGGTATAACGACACTCTATAACCTTATGTGTGATGTACACTCTATAAACTTATGTGTGATATACACTGTACAACCATGTGTGTGATGTTCATTCTATAACATATGTTTGTTGTGCAATCTATGCTTATATATGTGATGTACACTATATAATCTTATGTGCTAAATGCACAGTTTTTGTGTCTTGTGTACACATGCTTGTATGTGGGGTGTGTGTTAGTGTTATGTACACCTGCTTGTTATCTATTGTGTAAATGTGTTGTGCGCCAAATTGTAAGTTTCGTATGTATGTCTGTTTTTCACTTTTTCTGAGTGTGAAGTAAGAAAATTATTGAACTATTATAAAGAGATGTACACTCTATACAACATCAAAGGAAGTCTTTATCAGTGCTAGTTATCCTTGTGTAAAACAGATCTAATTGGCTTATAATGAATCAGTGAGGTATGCAGCATACGTCTGGAGCAATAGAATATGAAACAATAGTTACCTTTGATCAGTCGCGACAAAAGGATGAGTGTTTACTACCCGTGAAATGAATGGCACCTGACACGAACCATAACTGAATTTAAATCAAATCATAAAGAATGTACACTCTATACCGTTATGTGTGGTATACACTCTATTACCATGAGTGATGTAATTCTATAACCATATGTGTTATGTACACTCTATAAACATATGTGTAAGATACACTCTTTAAACGTACGTGTAATGTGCAATGTATAACCATGTGTTAGATGTATAATCTATAAAAGTATGTTATGTACACTCTATAAACTTGTGTAATTTACACTCTTTAAACTTCCGTTTAATGTGCACTCTTTAATAATGTGTGTTATGAACACTCTATAAACATTTGTGTAATGTACACACTTTAAACGTATGTGTAACGTATAAATCCATAACCATGGTATAACGACACTCAATAACCTTGTAACCAAGGCTCTATAACCAAGGCGTTCTCCTACCGCCTCACAAAATTTCAAGGGGGGTCGTCGGAGGAAATTTTTTTCGTTTTATATATATATATATATATATATATATATATATATATATATATATTTATTTATTTATATAAGGTTCAATTCTGTATGTTTTTTTTGTTTTTTGTTTTTTTGTTTTTTTTTAATATAATTTGTTGTGTTTATTCAAAGATGGAAATTTGTAAGCATAAAATGCACAATGAACACGATTTTAAAAGCAATAAGACCAATACTTTAAAATCTGGCGTCGCTCAGTGAACATATCAAGTTTGCGAATAGTATATACATTAGATTTCTCCAGGGGCTAAGTCCAATTATATATAACATCTGAACATTCTGCACGAGTGAGCAAGACTCAAATCTTCCGAGAATTTAAAAATAATTTAAGCTGGTCTGGATGATAAATGATACATGACTTGGTAACTATACTCAAAAAAAAAAGTATAAAAAAAATTATGACATTGCAACTTGGATGAAAATCTTGTGAGTCCTTGATGCTTTTATCTGCTGAAAATAGTTGAATAAATCACCAACCACGGCCACGTTCATTTCCATTAACAATTTCAACTCCAGCATCTTGAATAAGCGTTTTTGCTTCAGAAATAGCGTATTTGCTCCCAGATAACTCAACAGAACTTCTACCAGATGAGTCGCCATCACGTGACACCTTTATCCGACAACCACTGTCTGCTTCCATGTCTCGTATTCTGCTTCCACCACGACCGATGATTCTGTCTACTTCAGATGACTCAACATAAATTGTTTCAGATTCACCACCACCATCACCTCCAAAGCCTCTACCACTGCCGCCACCACCACCACGGCTTCCACCACTAAGGCATTCTTCAATTAGTCTCTTGGCATTTTCAATCTCTTCCGTTGTTCCACTGATTTCAACAGATTTCATTCCATCCTCATCCTCATCTCTGGATATTTTGATTCCGGCATTACTGTCTTGTTCTAGATCTCTGATTTTACTTCCACCACGACCTATGATCTTTCCCACATTTGAAGACTCAACCATCATTGTTGTTGAACTTACGCCGCCACCACGGCCTCCGCCATAAGATCCGCTAAATGACATTTTGTCTAGATGTGTTGAGAACGCCACAACTCTGGGTTTGTGTGTAAAATGTTTGTCGTGGATTACAACGGAAAAAAACCGATACTTCTATGGATTCAATTGTTAGATTATTAAAGTGCTCAGGGTCTAAATTTATGAGTTAAAAAATTAATATTGAAAGTCTTTAAGTCTTTAAAAACAATTTTCATTTTATATACTTAGAATAACAATTTTCAATTATGAACATTACATAAATTTTTAAAAAAAGTGTATCAACGTTTATGAAATTTCTAAAATTGTGTCTGAAATGTATTTGCATTTTGTCCTTTAGCTCTCATTACGTCCCTTGATTTGGAAAACACAGTTACTTCCTTTTTAAAAAAAAAACCCATTAAATCGGGGGAGAAAGAATTTACCTTTGATTACTTTGTTTTGGTGTTAGTAAAAAAAATAATTACATAATTAGCGGGGATTGATTAAGTGCAATGTCGTAGTTATTTTTAATACTGCCTTTTATTTATTCTATACACTGAACGTAGTGTTTACTAATTATTTTTTAAATCAATAACAGTTAATAAGCCAGGTCCTACAAATCCTTTATGTTTATTTCTTTCAATTTACGAATAAGCTTGGAGTATTATAATTTGTTCACTAAATTGAAACAGGCGCGTTCGATTTGGCGCCCTGGGTTATCATGTGAGTGCGATGGTGCATAATTTCGTTTTAAACAGTGCGATAGACTATGGATAAGAAAGGTTACTATAGTCATTAAGTGAATCAAATCCGGACGTCCTCCGGCACCCCGACAGGATGCTATTTGGCGCCCCGGGCCCTCCTGTGTTCGCTATGGTACCTACGTTCGCGTAAGTGAGTTCAAAAGGCTATGAATAAGTTGGGTACTATAGTCGATTACTAAGTTGAATCAGGCGGTTAAGCCGCACGTCGTCATGGTGCGATTTGGCGCCCGGACTAGACTGTGGACACTTTGAGTTTATCTTGTTTTCTTGTGTTTGGATTTGCGTTTGTGGTTGTGTTTGCGTTTGGATTTGGGTTTGTGTTTGTGTTTTTTTTTCGTTTGCTTTTTTCTTTGCGTTTGTGTTTTCGTTTTCTTTTTTCTTTGCTTTTGTGTTTTCTTTGTGTTTGTGGTTGTGTTTGTGTTTGCGTTTCTTTTTGTGTTTTCGTTTGTGTTTGTGTTTGTATTTGTGTTTGTGTTATGTTTGCGTTGTTTTTTTTTGGTGTGTTTTGGTTGTGTTTTGTTGTGGTTGGGTTTGCGTTTAGATTTGTTTTCGTTTGCTTTTTTGTTTGCGTTAGTGTTTGTGTTTTCTTTGTGTTTGTGTTTGTCTTTGCGTTTGTTTTTGTGTTTTCGTTTGTGTTTGTTTTGTGTTAGTGTTATGTTTGCGTTTTTTGTGTAATTTGGTTGGTTGTGGTTAGGGTGGGCAATGCCGGGTAAATGCTGATTAATAAACACACAAGTTAGTTATGGTCCTTCATAATTGCGTTTTTCAGAGATGCCAGCGCAGTGCCTGGCCGGGACGGCTAGTATATATATATATATATATATATATATATATATATATATATATATATATATATATATATATATATATATATATATATATATATATATATATATATATATATATATATATATATATATATATATATATATATATATATGGATGGATGGATGTATATATATATATATATATATATATATATATATATATATATATATATATATATATATATATATATATATATATGTATATATGTATATATATATATATATATATATATATATATATATATATATATATATATATATATATATATATATATATATATATAATGTAGGGGCCCACAAAAAATTTCAGCTGAATCCGCCCCTGTTTGTAACATATTTCTTAATCTGTTAATGTTGCTATAACATGTTACTTGAGCTGTTTTTGTTGCTGTATATAATTGTTCAGCTGTCGTAGTTTATCTTTAGAGATTGTGATGAGTAGCAACATGCTGGCGTTAGAATTCACGTTGATGGGTTTCGTGTTGAACCTGATGTCTGTAAACTGTAAAATCTTTTCACAGGTAGGGTCTATAGGAATAAATCTATACATCTTCTGGTTACCGGAAATCGCTGAAAAATTAGATACAAAACTACAAATTTGATATAATACATGTACATAAATTTTCATCAACCTAGCTGTAACGGTACTCAAGTTATCTTGCTACAGACACACATACACACACACACACACACTCAGACATACGGACAGAACTGCAAAGCCCAGTTTTCCCGATTCGATTACGCGTAGAACGCCAAAATTTTGATCAATATGTATTTATTATTTTTGCCCGATTAAAATAAGTCCCGTTTGTGATAAAGTACTGAGGTGTAAAACGATGAAAACTGTCAAAATTTCATGTGATTTTGTGCACGATTACAATACTTCCTCTATACCCTGTAAATGAGAAAGTACAAATTTATGGTGCTGAAAAAAAATAAACCTTAAAAAAGTCTTCGTAACAAACTTTCATGTAAAATTGCACTAAAAAGTAGAAAATAAATGATTTTCATAAAATACATAATAATACACTACTATTTAAATAACTATAAAGAAAAGCGTCGGTCTCTTTCTAAATACTAGTAAAGGTATCCAGTAGATAATATAATGACCCACACTTTTCATCTATAGTTGGTAATAAATACAGACTAGAATACCCGATATCTAGTTAGATAACTGTGGGTTTCGGGAGGGGGGGAGGTCATCCATAAATGACATCACGTCTGTCACTCAGAGGCGTAGCGACCCTTTTCGGCGCCCGGGGACAAACTTTTCGATTTGAACCCCCCCCCCCCCCCCCGACCCCCGACCCACCCCCTCAAGATTTCGTTTTGCACCCCCCCCCCCCTCCTTCAAACTTTCGATTTTGCACACCCCAACCTTTCAATTTATTTTTCCAACCCATTTTGGCGCCCCCTAAGGTCGGCGCCCTGTGACATATGCCCCCCCCTCGCTACTGCAGTGTCACTTATCGTCACAAAAAACAGATCCCACATTCAAAAATATGTTTTTTATCTTTTTAAAAAACACCGAAAACACCGATTTCGGACTATCCCTTCATATACTGACGTCACAGGTGACTTACTCAACCCTATTTCACCTGCCCAGTGTCCCGCCAAGTCTCAGACAACATGTTTTTATCGTTTAAAAAAAACGATCCAGCCGAGCATGTCTCTGATCACACTATCACTTCATATACTTAGGACAAACAAACAGATTAACTCTACTTCACCTGCCCTGTATCCCGCCAAGTTCAGATAGGCAACTTTATCATTCACATCTAAAAAATAAAATAAAAATTTAAAAAAAAATTATCATTGACTTATTGGTCTAGAACCTGTGCTTGTCTAGAATCTAGATCTAGTAGATCTATTTGCGTAACTCTTGGAGTCTTTTTAGATCTAGATCTAGATCTAGATCTAGAATCTAGATCTAGAAATCTAGATCTATAGATAAATCACAAAGATTTATATCAAGTATTTAAGGACCAAAAATGTATTATGATTTTAAAATGGATTGTATTTTTATTTAGTTAATCTTTGGTATGTTATGTATCTAATTAATCTTTTGTTTGATCTAGATCAGGGGTCTCCAAACTTTTCAGTCCGAGGGCCGCATTAAATATCAAATTACAGTTCGGGGGCCAGTTTCTTCCAGGCTTGTCTTTGATTTTTCTGGGCATAATTTTGCAATCTTGTCCGTTTGTCTCTGTGTGTGTGTGTCAGGGGCGGAACTACAGTGCCGCCAGACCCCGCAATGCGGGGGAGCCCACGCCATTTAGGGGCCCACAGCCGACCATAATAATTTTTTTTATAGTTTAAAAAAAATCTAATTTTCTTGCATTTTTGACTTGATGGGGTTTTTTTTTTTTGTAAAACTATTACCGTAGCTGCGGTTTTATTATCTTTATTCTATAGACACCACCCCACGTTCTTGTATATTCTTTTTCCCTTTGTTTCTAAACCACTGTGAAAGCCTAGTCCTCTCTCTCTCCTACAATTAATCTTTACAAAGATAAGCAAACGTTCAAACCACTTCCATGACTTATTTCCCTTTTTTAAATAGTCAAATGGGGGTGCTCCTTTTAACAGATTTGTACTAAACGAATTAGAAACAATTACTTCTCTTACTTATTTTTTTTATAAAGTACTTACTAAAGAATGACATTGTATAAAAAGGAAATGTATTTAAAATTAATAATATGAATACAAAAACATGAAAATAATCATAAACACGAGACACCATTACTTCTATAAAGCTTTCATGTTTTATATTCTTTTGGCCGACTAAATGTTAAGGGGACCTATAGCGCAAATATAAAAAAATCTTTTTCTCAAAACATACTAATGCACTTACTCACTTGACATGATGTAGATCTAGATCTAGTAATTTGTTTTAACTTTTTAAAAAAAACATCATTGTTTTTGGAAACCCCGAACAGGCCAGTAATAAGTAACCTAAGTTCGTAATTTGTGTTTGTATATTTGTATATATATATATATATATATATATATATATATATATATATATATATATATATATATATATATATAAAAATGGGGGGGGGGGGGGCTAAAACAATTTTTTGCGTGGTGGCCCTTTTTTTCTAGTTCCGCCACTGGTGTGTGTGTGTAAACACAATAACTTTGGTACCGTTACAGCTAGGTTGATAAAATTTCATATATAAGTATTTTATCAAAATCGTCTATAACCATAACTTGAGTACTATTTCAGATAGATAAATGAAATTTCACATGTAAATAAAAGATCTAATTCTCTACCTTAAATCAAATTTTGAGTAATTTCCGTTGACCGGAAGTACTAATTTACGCTATTTCCGATTTCTCAAAAAAACTCATGTAAATTTATAAAGTACTAATAATATTCCACACTATTATACACATCTTTATTCGGCGTTCGCTTGGTGCGCAATTCTTTTTTCTATGAGATTCTATTCTATTTTAATAAGTTTAAGTATTTAAAATGTATTTAAAATGGATTAAAAAATCATAACTATATCCCGAGTTCCTATCCCCTGTTGTTTTTTATAAGAATATTCGAGAAAGTTTAGGGGAGATCACTCCCGGTTTATTTTTTCTAATATCGTGTCACGCGTTTGCCGAAATAAATAAAGTATTTTGTGATAGTGCCACCTAAGTTTCGGCCGGGCACGAAGCATCGACTACACTCGTGTAACATCTGCTGATGTGTGACGGGTGTGACGACACGGACAATAACAGATACCTTCTCTCATCACTGGGTTCGTGACAACTTGACGCGGGCTAAAGATAACATCAGTTGTAGACTGCAGCAGACGGCATCACCACTACATGTCTGACTCATGACGTGCGGTAGGTCAGGGACGAGGGGAGCCAATATGTGTTGAGAGAGCGGGACCGTCAGTTTTTTGTCGAGTCAAATGTCAAGTCTACATAAGTGTGTGGATCCAGCGCTTCAATCTCCAGACCCACAGCTCTAAAGATAATAGGGTCACGTGACACGTCATATGACGGAGTTGGCACCTCGGTTTCACCAGCTGTGAACTCTGAGATAGATCTAAACTTTTGGGCTATTTTAAAAAAAATGGCAGACAATAAGCGAAAACAAAATATTTTAATGATTATGATTTATTTCCTGGTTTAAATTGTGCAATGCTTTGAAAGTAAATTAAAAAAAAACATATGGTAACAATTTTCATCCTGAATTTGTTGTTGCGCTATATTAGTTTATTCCTATATAAAAGTAAAATATAAATAAAAATAGTTCATTTTAACATTTTATATGATTATTAATACAAATGCGATCATAAAAACGTGATTATATATAATGCGTATATACACTAGAATTCTTTTGTTTTGTCCATTTTTTTAGTGGTTTAATGCATTTTATTATCATTTATAGGTAACTATAGGCTACAGCATTTTGAAAAATTTTTGGCAAAAAAATAAATAAATAAAACAACATACGAGCTTTATCTACATCCTACGGTACCGATAAAATTAAACCCAATCAAAAGGTTGTACAGTAAAACTCGTCAAGGTTATGATCGGGAGTTGAAAATTACACAGAAATGTCACATAAAAAATTTAAAAATATTCTTTTGAAGTTCTCTGCATTTGCAAATTTTATAACAACATCTTTGTTTTGTTGAAATTTACATTTATACTTTTATTAAGCTTGAATTTTCACATATTTTTTAATAAGTGTTAGACGACAAAATGTTTTTAAAATGTATTATATTCAAACCTGGTGGATGTCATTCTAAACTTTCCAAACTTTTAGTTCTATTTGAGTTTTAAGCAAAAAGTGAACTATCACATTTTTATTTAAACTTAAGTCGCTACATAAATAGGACAAAAAAAGTGTACCCATATTAACATTTAATTTCAGGAATTGTAAACCATAGTTCATAAACACACATGTAAACATATGTATAGCTCCTCAACATTTGCATAGATTTATGTCAACATGTGTTCCACCCAAACTTAATCCTAGCAGTGACAGGACTAAGGTTAACTTCCCTCCCTCCATTTCAACGAGCCACTTCTTTCTAAGGGGGAGTAACTGTGATTAATGTTGCGAGACTAAAATAAGGAGTTAGTTCTCTTTAAAATAAAAGAAGAACCATTTAATTTAAAAAAGACAGCATATTGTGAATTAATTTTTAAATCTTTAAAACTGTATTGTCTCAACGGGAGGCTAGTACAAAGAATAAAAAAATTCAGTTCTGATTATGACAAACTCGTCAACTTTGACCTGCTATGGTGACCAGTTTACCTCCTGCCCCTTCCTTGTCTGTGATGATGCTGGACATACCAGAAGCTTCACTGAGTCCATTTTTCTTGGGCTGATGCATTAACAAATGTAATGGATTAATTTTACCAAAATCATTTATGTAGCATACCATCCACTAAAATTAACAATGAGAATCAATTAGAATTATTGAATCATCAAGCTGATTTTAGTTAATGTTGAATTCATTCATACAAGATTTTAAAATGTATCTCTGTCATTCTACTAATTTATATTTCTAGACATATAATATTTAGTCTGTAGTTTATACTGGTTGTTGGCACTACAGGTAAAATTGTATGTCTAGCAGTATAAACTTAGGCTTACATTGGAACTACTGCCTGTAGATTTAGACGTGGACATAAGAGACTTGGACTTGTATCTGTGTCTTAGAACACTCAACCCTTCTCTCACCTGAGGGAATTAAATATTTGACTTAAAACACTCAACCCTTCTCTCACCTGAGGGAATTAAATATTTGACTTAAAACACTCAACCCTTCTCTCACCTGAGGGAATTAATTATTTGATTTAAAATAATTTTCATCAACTTATCACAAATTATTTTCTTCCATTACGATTTTAACACCACATTCTCCATGACAATAGGACTATAACAACACCTTATCTTTGACAATAGGACTATAACAACATCTTATCTTTGACAATAGGACTATAACAACACCTTATCTTTGACAATAGGACTATAACAACACCTTATCTTTGACAATAGGACTATAACAACACCTTATCTTTGACAATAGGACTATAACAACACCTTATCTTTGACAATAGGACTATAACAACACCTTATCTTTGACAATAGGACTATAACAACACCTTTTCTTTGACAATAGGACTATAACAACACCTTATCTTTGACAAAAGGACTATAACACACCTTATCTTTGACAATAGGACTATAACACACCTTATCTTTGATAATAGGACTATAACAACACCTTATCTTTGACAAAAGGACTATAACAACACCTTATCTTTGACAATAGGACTATAACAACACCTTATCTTTGACAATAGGACTATAACAACACCTTATCTTTGATAATAGGACGATAACAACACCTTATCTTTGACAATAGGACTATAACAACACCTTATCTTTGACAATAGGACTATAACAACACCTTATCTTTGACAATAGGACTATAACAACACCTTATCTTTGACAATAGGACTATAACAACACCTTATCTTTGATAATAGGACGATAACAACACCTTATCTTTGACAATAGGACTATAACAACACCTTATCTTTGACAATAGGACTATAACAACACCTTATCTTTGATAATAGGACGATAACAACACCTTATCTTTGACAATAGGACTATAACAACAACTTATCATCATGTCCCGAACGTGCCCAAGACACATGGGGCAGATGAAGTAGAGTACCCTATCTGTGACAACTACAAAAATAAATTCACTTAAACAGGGTTACCTGGTGCTGTAGCAGGCAGTGGAAGACAAAAATTAAAACACCCTGAAATAAATCATTCAATTGGTGTGGGAATTTTTAATTATGTGAATAATGTTTTTTAAATAATTCCAACATTTTATAAAAATCAACAAATGGCCTATTGAGGATAAAATCAGTTTCATTATAAACAAGTTGGTTGAATAAATATAAGCAGAAGATGTTGAGGCAAATCCTTGGTGTGATAAAGAATTGTTTCGCCTATTTTTAATCTTAAAATGTGTTACAAACATTTTTTTAACATTCTTTTCAGGTACAAATGATGAATAGCATTAAAGAAATAATAAAGATTTAACCAAGTTTTTAATAATTGTACATAACACATGTAACATGCTAAAATTGTAATCTGAATGTAACTTAATTATAATTAGTTTTGAACATATGGTATTGGTATAACCTGTGACATTGTTTATTGCTAAAGAATAGCAGTGTTAAGGTTTTTAAAATTGTAAAGTAATTCCAAAACTTTAATACAACCATCATTAAATTGTATCAGAGGAATAAACAAAATTATCAACAGAATTTAATTAAGTTTAGATTCAGCATGCTAAGAAAAAAATTGGAACTCACTTGGATAGAGTTAAAAATAGCAAACAAATATTGGAAAACAATGAGATCATTATTGATGGAGAAAACACCAAACAACCATGTGACTCCCAGGATAGGGGACAAAACTAGGACATTCCTGGCTGCTGACCTAGGAAATGGATTCAGTCAACACATCAGTCATACAAGGTATCAGTCAACACATCAAAGTCATACAAGGTATCAGTCAACACATCAGTCATACAAGGTATCAGTCAACACATCAGTCATACAAGGTATCAGTCAACACATCAGTCATACAAGGTATCAGTCAACACATCAGTCCTACAAGGTATCAGTCAACACATCAGTCATACAAGGTATCAGTCAACACATCAAAGTCATACAAGGTATCAGTCAACACATCAAAGTCATACAAGGTATCAGTCAACACATCAAAGTCATACAAGGTATAAATATAAACACATCAAGATTGGTCAAAACAAAGTTCACACAGTAGAATTTACTCTATATAAACATCCACATAGGTTGTTGGCTTAATTGACACACATAAGGTGGAATTTAACATAGAAGCTATAGTTAGGTTGAAAGTCAACATCCTAGCTATGTGTAATTTTGAATGTGACTTACTTTGTGCGTTCTGTTTTTGTCTTATCCTGCATAGCACGTGAGGTTTGAATGGCTTGCAGAACTACCACCAACACAATCAAGTTCACCTGGGATTGTAAGGCAAGATTGCAAATTTTATTTCGCTATTTTTATAATTTTTGTTGATACACTGAGACTGTAGTGTGAACAATGTTTGTGTTCTAACTCTTGTCAGTAGCTTATGTCATGCACAGCTAATAAAACAGGCTTACAGAAATAACAAAAATGACTAGCTCCCATAAAACACAGACTTACAGCAATAACAAAAATGACTGGCTCCCATAAAACACAGACTTACAGAAATAACAAAAATGATTGGCTCCCATAAAACACAGACTTACACAAATAACAAAAATGACTGGCTCCCATAAAAACAGGCTTACAGAAATAACAAAAATGACTGGCTCCCATAAAACACAAACTTACATAAATAACAAAAATGACTGGCTCCCATAAAACACAGACTTACAGAAATAACAAAAATGACTGGCTCCCATAAAACACAGACTTACAAAATAACAAAAATGACTGGCTCCCATAAAACACAGACTTACAGAAATAACAAAAATGACTGGCTCCCATAAAACTCAGACTTACAGAAATAACAAAAATGACTGGCTCCCATAAAACACAGACTTACAGAAATAAAAAAAAATGATTGGCTCCCATAAAACAGGCTTACAGAAATAACAAAAATGACTGGCTCCCATAAAACAGACTTACAGAAATAACAAAAATGACTGGCCCTGCAAAAGCCCAGTGTAATCCATCAGATGGGGACAGCCAGCAACTGCAAGAGGTCATGATAAAACTGGGTGGTTACCTCTGTTGGTCAGTCATGTGCTGATAGAGATAGTCTCCGCATTTACATTAATTTGTCATAAATTACAATTTGTCATAAATCATTACTTACAACTTGTCAGTACCATAACCTTTGGACTTGGTGACAATCAATGATGTGACCACAATGATCAATGGAATGACTGAAGGATAAAATTAATTAAATTTTTAATTACCAGAAAAAACTTCATTTACACAGATTAGGAAGGCTGACCACATGCACTTACAATGTGAGGTCACCATAGCATGTACAGTGTGAGGTCACCAAGATATGTACAGGGTGAGGTCACCATGGCATGTACAGTGTGAGGTCACCAAGATATGTACAGGGTGAGGTCACCATGGCATGTACAGTGTGAGGTCACCAAGATATGTACAGGGTGAGGTCACCATGGCATGTACAGTGTGAGGTCACCAAGATATGTACAGGGTGAGGTCACCATGATATGTACAGGGTGAGGTCACCATGGCATGTACAGTGTGAGGTCACCAAGATATGTACAGGGTGAGGTCACCATGGCATGTACAGTGAGGTCACCAAGATATGTACAGGGTGAGGTCATCATGACATGTACAGGGTGAGGTCACCATGGCCTATCAAGTGCACTTGTGGCTAGCAACATTAATAAATCTCCCTATCACCCACTGGTAGAGAGTATGCTAGTATTTTGCCTGTGACCAGATTTATTTGAGAGTTCCAACAAGTTCTAACCTAGCCTGCTTTAGGCTGGTGTCCCTTGATACACTCCAGGATTTTAGAAGCTATTCCTTAGTTTTTGAGACACTAGTGCAGTTTATTATATTTTATTCTGTGTTTTTGTGTCTGTGTAAAATATTTGCTTACCATATACCATGGGCAACAGATATTTGAGTATTGAAACAGTTGAAATGCTTGTGGCTGATTTCAGAAGGACAAATCCTTGAGCAAGTAGAGTAAAAAACACAACCAGGAAACAGTAATGGAGCAACACAGCAATGATCTTACACACAACCTGGGATCATGAAATACTCTCTATTAAAATTGTCTGGTATGTAAGAAGTTTAGATAGCTAAATGGTGTGTGAATAGTTTATTAAAATGAGTTAGTGGTTATCTACTAATAACTAAATTTAAGAGCAACTTAACAGTTCTTTAGGTCAAGGCCCAACACTACTCACTTCATTTTCTGTCCTGTTGATTCCTGATAAAAAGATGATGTAGCCAATGCCGAGAGAAACACTCAAGTTTGTATGGAGCACAGAACGATCTCTTTTCACAAATCTGAAACATTTCATTTAGAATGTATTGAAATATGGGGATAAAACTATGTTGCTGTAGTGATTACTGTTTTAGTCTATGGCCTTAACAGCATACATGCTTGGCTTGATTAGCCATATTGACCATTACGCTCAACAAGTAATGTATTTTTAGTTGTCACTAGAGTTAGGATGGTACAGTAGTTTTTTTTATCATTTAATAGAAACAAACTAAATGAAGTTCACCTTTTTTATTTTACTTGTTTAATACTTCCTCATTTTAATATATTCATATAGCAAAAGACTATTTAAATATTTTACAGAATAATATTTAAGAAAAATGTGTGGATTAATTTAGAAATTATTTGCACGCACCTCCAGACAACCGCATATATAATGATGGTGGCTGTGACACAGACTATGGAGATAACACATCCAATACTTGAGATGATGCTTAGTGCAGCAAAATCTTTTTCCTGTGTCAAGTTGTTAACACATTTGTACACGTTTTACAATTAAACTTTCATTAAAGGTATAAGTATAATTTGCAATTGGACTTATGGATCTAAGTAAACTTAAAAATGTAATTAACCTTACAGATGTAATTAGACTCACAAATATAATTTAACCTCATAGATGTAATTAGACTTAGATGTGTAATTATACTTACAGATATGTGTATTGGTGACATCATGACAGCAAAGTTAGTAAAGTGATCACAGACACAAACAACCAATGTCCCTTCTCTTGTCTCCACATAACATCCCTTGGTTGACCAAAAGTTATGGTCCCTGAATTATAAAAATGTTGGATCTCCTTAGTTGATTCAGAAACGTCAAGTACAAATAAATTATTAGGTTCATAGGAATTTTAAATAAACTCTTACAAGCTAACCAAATGGATGTATTAGGTTCATAGGAATTCTTAACACACTGTATCAAACTAACTTGATGGATGTATTAGGTTCATAAGATTTTTAACAAACTGTATCAAACAAACCTGATGGACGTATTAGGTTCATAAGATTTTTAACAAACTGTATCAAACTAACCTGATGGACGTATTAGGTTCATAAGATTTTTAACAAACTGTATCAAACTAACCTGATGGACGTATTAGGTTCATAGGAATTTTTAACACACTGTATCAAACTAACTTGATGGACGTGTTAGGTTCATAAGATTTTTAACAAACTGTATCAAACTAACCTGATGGACGTATTAGGTTCATAAGATTCTTAACAAACTGTATCAGACTAACCTGATAGACGTATTAGGTTCATAAGATTTTTATCAAACTGTATCAAACTAACCTGATGGATGTATTAGGTTCATAAGATTCTTAACAAACTGTATCAGACTAACCTGATAGGCGTATTAGGTTCATAAGATTTTTATCAAACTGTATCAAACTAACCTGATGGACGTATTAGGTTCATAAGATTCTTAACAAACTGTATCAGACTAACCTGATAGACGTATTAGGTTCATAAGATTTTTAACTGCATCAAACTAACCTGATGGACGTATTAGGTTCATAAGATTTTTAACTGCATCAAACTAACCTGATGGACGTATTTAAAAATGCACAGACTGGATCTTTGTAGCCAGCCTGTGATAAAGGCAAAATATGTGAGCATAAAAATAAAAGTATTCAGGTAACAAACACATGCCTTGTATCCTGTTGGAATATTCTGGACAGATCCCCTTTTATCTACATCTTCAAAACAACATCTTTAGGAAACTCATTTATAATTTACTAGCTTAAATAAGTTTATGTTACAAAAAATATTTGAATAGCCATACCGTGACATGTTTCATCCTGAAGGTCACAGGTTTTGGAAGCTTGTGCGCATGTCCATCTGCCCCTAGTGAGGCGCTGAGTATATAGCTAGCTATGTGAAGTCTGATATCAGACTTCTCCTCCATTCTCTCTTTCTTCTCGGAAGATTTCTCCTCAACGCTCACTTCAGGGTCAGTTTTTGTCTTTGGTTTCTCTTGGACCCCCAGGATATCGGCCATGGAGTAATGAGTCATAAAAACAACCTTGGCCAGTTCACCTTCTGTAAGGTCAAAGATCAAACAATATACCTCAGTCATTAGGCTTAAACTAATTAGATGCATATAGCATATATTTTATGGTGATTGTATTTTAGCAAGTAAATTGAAAAAGAAAACTATCAGACCTTTGTTAAAGCTGAACAAAGTTTCTTTAGGAATGGTGAACGATGTTTCTGATTGGTCAGTTGTGTATACCAGTTCTGTCTTGTTCTCCTTGGTGAACGTGTCTTCACTGATCACATGCAGTTTTAGGTCTAGCAAAACAAAATGGAACGTTTTGCTACAGAATACTTAAGATTTGTTTAAACTCTTAGCAGAAGATAAATTAAGTGTAATAAATAATGGATGTTGTAATGTTGGACTATAATACTTAAGATTTGTTTAAACTCCCTTAATGAAATGTCAACATCCAGACAACCCAGCTCACACTCACCGATATTCTCATCTTGTTTAGTTATCACAATCGGTTGCTTAATTTCATCTGCCATGGCTAACGTCGCTGTCTCCATGGCAACCAGAAGTGTTAATGCCGAGTTGACCTTATCTACCTGCGTCATTTCCTCCCACATGGCTGATTTGTTGGTGGAGACGAGATTACTTCCTGCTGCGATGACATTCTGAAAGAGGGTGGAAGTGAAGACGTAGATGACATTCTGAAAGAGGGTGGAAGTGAAATAGATGACATTCTGAAAGAGGATGGAATTGAAATAGATGACAATCTGAAAGTGGGTGGAAGTGAAATAGATGACATTCTGAAAGAGGGTGTACATGAAATAGATGACATTCTGTAAGGGTGGAAGTGAAGAGATGACATTCTGAAAGAGGGTAAAAGTGAAATAGATGACATTCTGAAAGAGGGTGTACGTGAAATAATTGACATTCTGAAAGAGGGTGGAAGTGGAATAGATGACATTCTGAACGAGGGTGGAAGTGAAATAGATGACATTCTGAAAGAAGGTGTACATGAAATAGATGACATTCTGAAAGAGGGTGGAAGTGTAGACGGAGATGACATTCTGAAAGAGGGTGGAAGTGAAATAGATGACATTCTGTAAGGGTGGAAGTGAAGAGATGACATTCTGAAAGAGGGTAAAAGTGAAATAGATGACATTCTGAACGAGGGTGGAAGTGAAATAGATGACATTCTGAAAGAGGGTGGAAGTGAAATAGATGACATTCTGAAAGAGGATGGAATTGAAATAGACGACATTCTGAACGAGGGTGGAAGTGAAATAGATGACATTCTGAAAGAGGGTGTACATGAAATAGATGACATTCTGAAAGAGGGTGGAAGTATAATAGATGACTTTCTGAAAGAGGTAGGAAGTGAAAAAGATGACATTCTGAAAGAGGGTGGAAGTGAAATAGATGACATTCTGAAAGAGGGTGGAAGTAAAGACTTAGATGACATTCTGAAAGAGGGTGGAAGTGAAGAGATGATATTCTGAAAGAGGGTGGGAGTGAAAGAGATAACATTCTGAAAGAGGGTGGAAGTGGAATAGATGACATTCTGAAAGAGGGTGGAAGTGAAATAGATGACATTCTGAAAGAGGGTGGAAGTGGAATAGATGACATTCTAAAAGAGGGTTGAAGTGAAATAGATGACATTCTGTAAGGGTGGAAGTGAAGAGATGACATTCTGAAAGAGGGTTGAAGTGAAATAGATGACATTCTGAAAGGGGGTGGAGGTGAAAAAGATGACATTCTGAACGAGGGTGGAAGTGAAATAGATGACAATCTGAAAGAGGGTTGAAGTGAAAAAGATGACATTCTGAAAGAGGGTGGAAGTGAAATAGATGACATTCTGTAAGAGGATGGAATTGAAATAGATGACATTCTGAACGAGGGTTGAAGTGAAATAGATGACATTCTGAAAGAGGGTGTACATGAAATAGATGACCTGAAAGAGGGTGGAAATGAAATAGATGACATTCTGAAAGAGGGTGGAAGTATAATAGATGACTTTCTGAAAGAGGGTGGAAGTGAAAAAGATGACATTCTGAAAGAGGGTAGAAGTAAAATAGATGACATTCTGAAAGAGGGTGGAAGTAAAGACTTAGATGACATTCTGAAAGAGGGTGGGAGTGAAAGAGATAACATTCTTAAAGAGGGTGGAAGTGGAATAGATGACATTCTGAAAGAGGGTGGAAGTGAAATAGATGACATTCTGAAAGAGGGTGTACATGAAATAGATGACATTCTGAAAGAGGGTGGAAGTGAAGACAGAGGAGACATTCTGAAAGAGGGTTGAAGTGAAATAGATGAAATTCTGAAAGAGGGTAGAAGTGAAATAGATGACATTCTGAAAGAGGGTGTATGTAAAATAGATGCCATTCTGAAAGAGTTTGGAAGTGAAATAGATGACATTCTGAAAGAGGTTGGAAGTGAAATAGATGACATTCTGAAAGGGGGTGGAGGTGAAATAGATGACATTCTGAACGAGGGTGGAAGTGAAATAGATGACATTCCGAACGAGGGTGGAAGTGAAATAGATGACATTCTGAAAGAGGATGGAATTGAAATAGATGACATTCTGAACGAGGGTGGAAGTGAAATAGATGACATTCTGAAAGAGGGTGTACATGAAATAGTTGACCTGAAAGAGGGTGGAAATGAAATAGATGAAATTCTGAAAGAGGGTGGAAGTAAAATAGATGACTTTCTTAAAGAGGGTGGAAGTTTAATAGATGACATTCTGAAAGAGGGTGGAAGTTAAATAGATGACATTCTGAAAGAGGGTGGAAGTGAAGACTTAGATGACATTCTAAAAGAGGGTGGAAGTGAAGAGATGATATTCTGAAAGAGGGTGGAAGTGAAATAGATGACATTCTGAAAGAGGGTGGAAGTGAAATAGATGACATTCTGAAAGAGGGTGGAAGTAAAATAGATGACATTCTGAAAGAGGTTGGAAGTAAAATAGATGACATTCTGAAAGAGGGTGGAAGTGAAATAGATGACATTCTAAAAGAGTGTGGGAGTGAAATAGATGACATTCTGAAAGAGTTTCAAAGTGAAATAGATGACATTCTAAAATAGGGTGGAAGTGAAATAGATGACATTCTGAAAGAGGGGGGAAGTGGAACAGATGACATTCTGAAAGAAGGTGGAAGTGAAATAGATGACATTCTGAAATTGGGTGGAAGTGAAATAGATAACATTCTGAAAGAGGGTGAAAGTGAAGACGTAGATGACATTCTGAAAGAGGGTGGAAGTGAAATAGATGACATTCTGAAAGAGGGTGGAAGTAAAATAGATGACATTCTGAAAGAGGGTGGAAGTGAAATAGATGACATTCTGAAAGAGGGTGGAAGTGAAGACGGAGATAACATTCTGAAAGAGGGTGGAAGTGAAGACCGAGATGACATTCTGAAAGAGGGTGGAAGTGAAGACGTAGATGACATTTTGAAAGAGGCTGGAAGTTAAAATAGATGACATTCTGAAAGAGGGTGGAAGTGAAGACGTAGATGACATTCTGAAAGGGTGGAAGTGAAATAGATGACATTCTGAAAGAGGGTGGAAGTGAAATAGATGACATTCTAAAACGGTGGGATTGAAATGGTTGACATTCTGAAAGAGGGTGTAAGTAAAATAGATGCCATTCTGAAAGAGGTTGGAAGTGAAATAGATGACATTCTGAAAGAGGGTGGAAGTGAAATAGATGACATTCTGAAAGAGGGTTAAAGTGAAATAGATGACATAATGAAAGATGGTGGAAGTGAAATAGATGACATTCTAAAAGAGGGTGAAAGTGAAATAGATGACATTCTGAAAGAGGGTGAAAGTGAAATAGATGACAATCTGAAAGTGGGTGGGAGTGAAATAGATGATATTCTGAAAGAGTTTCGAAGTGAAATAGATGACATTCTAAAATAGGGTGGAAGTGAAATAGATGACATTCTGAAAGACGGTGGAAATGGAATAGATGACATTCTGAAAGAGGGTGGAAGTGAAATAGATGACATTCTGAAAGAGGGTGGAAGTGAAATAGATGACATTCTGAAAGAGGGTGAAAGTGAAGACGTAGATGACATTCTTAAAGAGGGTGGAAGTAAAATAGATGACATTCTAAAAGAGGGTGGAAGTAAAATAGATGACATTCTGAAAGAGGGTGGAAGTGAAATAGATGACATTCTGAAAGAGGGTGGAAGTGAAGACTTAGATGACATTCTGAAAGAGGGTGGAAGTGAAGACGTAGATGACATTTTGAAAGAGGCTGGAAGTGAAATAGATGACATTCTAAAACGGTGGGATTGAAATGGTTGATATTCTGAAAGAGGGTGGAAGTAAAATAGATGCCATTTTGAAAGAGGTTGGAAGTGAAATAGATGACATTTTGAAAGAGGGTGGAAGTGAAATAGATGACATTCTGAAAGAGGGTGGAAGTGAAATTGATGACATTCTAAAAGAGGGTGGAAGTGAAATAGATGACATTCTGAAATTGGGTGGAAATGAAATAGATGACATTCTGAAAGAGGGTGGGAGTGAAGACGGAGATGACATTCTGAAAGAGGTTGAAGTGAAATAGATGACATTCTGTAAGGGTGGAAGTGAAATAGATGACATTCTGAAAGAGGGTGGAAGTGAAGACGTAGATGACATTCTGAAAGAGGGTGGAAGTGAAATACATGACATTCTGAAAGAGGGTGGAAGTAAAATAGATGACATTCTAAAAGAAGGTGGAAGTGAAATTGATGACATTCTGAAAGAGGGTGGAAGTGAAGACGGAGATAACATTCTGAAAGAGGGTGGAAGTGAAGACCGAGATGACATTCTGAAAGAGGGTGGAAGTGAAGACGTAGATGACATTTTGAAAGAGACTGGAAGTTAAAAAAGATGACATTCTGAAAGAGGGTGGAAGTAAAATAGATGACATTCTGAAAGAGGGTGTACGTGAAATAATTGACTTTCTGAAAGAGGGTGGAAGTGAAGACGTAGATGACATTCTGAAAGGGTGGAAGTGAAATAGATGACATTCTGAAAGAGGGTGGAAGTGAAATAGATGACATTCTAAAACGGTGGGATTGAAATCATTGACATTCTGAAAGAGGGTGTAAGTAAAATAGATGCCATTCTGAAAGAGGTTGGAAGTGAAATAGATGACATTCTGAAAGAGGTTGGAAGTGAAATAGATGACATTCTGAAAGAGGGTGGAAGTGAAATAGATGACATAATGAAAGAGGGTGGAAGTGAAATAGATGACATTCTAAAAGAGGGTGGAAGTGAAATAGATGACATTCTGAAAGAGGGTGAAAGTGAAATAGATGACAATCTGAAAGACGGTGGAAGTGAAATAGATGATATTCTGAAAGAGTTTCGAAGTGAAATAGATGACATTCTAAAATAGGGTGGAAGTGAAATAGATGACATTCTGAAAGAGGGTGGAAGTGGAATAGATGACATTCTAAAAGATGGTGGATATGAAATAGATGACATTCTGAAAGAGGGTGGAAGTGAAGACTTAGATGACATTCTGAAAGAGGGTGGAAGTGAAGACGTAGATGACATTTTGAAAGAGGCTGGAAGTGAAATAGATGACATTCTGAAAGAGGGTGGAAGTAAAATAAATGACATTCTGAAAGAGGGTGTACGTGAAATAATTGACTTTCTGAAAGAGGGT